AACCTCCAAAACCTTCAAAACCTCCAAAACCTCCAAAACCTTCAAAACCTCCAAAACCTCCAAAACCTTCAAAACCTCCAAAAACAACCAGTACGTAGCGTTTACTTTGTAACTCCTCTAACACTATCATCTACTCCAAAGTAACCCCCAGTCAGCGTTTGCCAGCGCTTACCATCCTCAGGCTTAAACCCCTTTCGTTAACTTGAAGCTCCAGACGCAACGCCTTTACCTTAGGCTCTGCTATGAAACTTAGCTAAGCATAAGGTAACTCTTAAACTCTTCTTTCCTGCTAACCCTTATATAGAATAACTACTTACACTACTAAACGCAGGGGCGAACCTCCTGATAGGTTGCTTGTTGTCTTGGTATTTCTTAGAAGAGAGGTCTCGCTAAACAACAAGCATAGTAGCAGTAACACCTAGGGTTAGGGTATATTGTAGGTATACTCTTGGTTTTTATAACAAGTAGTTACTAAGTCACAAGACAGTTACGACAACATTTCTAATCATGGGGTTGTCTTCGCCTCTAGCAGTCAAGAGGTTTCGGGTTTTAGCCAAACAATTGGAATGCGTGTTTAGCTTAAATTCAGCGCCCCTAGCTAGGCACATATTCGAGTCTCTATTAGCTGTATGGAATAGCATTAGCAGGCATTTCGACAGCTATTAGTAATGTTTACACAACTATGATGCTTTAGCAGCTTGTAGCACACTGAATTATTACCCTGTTCTTCCTACCCTAGAGCTAGGCTAACCGCTAGACACTAGTCTTGTTTACTTGGTCCTTAGCCTACAATTGGCAAGGAATATGGAAGAAATAAATAATGCCAATGTAGAATTAAATATCTATATCTAGCGCACATAAGGGCAACGGTATTGTATATCGCATGAAACTAACAAACAGTTCCCTACATTACCCCTAACACTCTACGCGGTAAGAACTCGTTGTAGTCGCTTTGAGACTTTCTAACTGATAAATACGTTTATGCTAATGCTATCTGCTTATCGGATCTCGTCTAATAGCTTGGCCGCAACAGAGACTGCCTGGATGCATTCTATATCGCCTAGAGTTGCTGACTTCCCTAGCCACCGCATGTATTCGTCAACATCGCGGAACGTCTGATGCGGAAAATGCTTCTTGATCAGCGCTCTCAACCCGGCCTGGAAGAAAGCGCCGTAGCATAGCGGCATGATCATGTCTCGGAACCGGCATTCCCTCAACCCTTCCTCGCCATCCACGCCAGGCTCGGCCTCTGGGTCCGCTCTGCGGCAAATTGTCTGCGGAAGATAACACATAAAGCATGCCGTGAAATCCTCCATCCACTGCTTGCCCTCCTTCTCACACGCCTGTATGACCTTTTTCTTTGCCTTGATCCAAGGCCAGCGATGGCCGCAACTCGTAGCGCTGTGGTCAAACGGTCTACCTTCCCGCACGCGACAAAGAAGGCAACATCCGCGCATTATCTCCAAGTCTTGCTCAAACCGTCTTAGAACCTCGTTGTGAACCCTAGCCTGACGAAGGACCTCGTCGGGACCGGTGTAGACCATCTCTCTTGCGGCCACGATTTCCCATTTGTCCTCGCCTTCAACGTTGTCGTCGTCGCTGCCCTCATCCGTGGTGGCTGGCTGTGGTATTTTCGGCGATGGTAAGCCCAGCTCGAGATTCGCCGGCCGTCGTTCTGCATGAGGCCTGGGGCACACCGCGCACAGCTCATCTTCGCCTTCCATGCACCACCTCCAGTCCGATCTCTTGTCCAGGAACTGGCTCATCACGGCCCGTGAGCAGTGCTGCTGTGTCAGGTACAGCTGCATCATCTCTTCATCCAAGTCTTTGGGCTCCTGGCCGGCCCTGCGCGGCTGCCACGCCTCGCTTATCAGGGTGATTGACTCTGCAGGCTTGTTGTCCCGCCCTGCACGGCCGGACTCCTGCGAGAACGCCGTCATGGACCGCGGCGCGCCGGCGTGCACCACCCACCGCACCTCCGGATAGTCGAACCCGACGCCAAGTGCAGCAGTTGCTACGATCACCGGGCTTCCAGATGAACCCCGCCACTTCTCAATGGCAAGGTCCTTCTCTCCGTCACTCATGGTCTCTTCGTCTCCTGTGTACATCGGACAGTCCAGCTCCTTTGCGAGCTCCTCCATGAGGTCCAGCGTCTGGCAGTATACAATGATCCTGGACATCCTGCCGCCAGTCACCTTGCCGTTACTGTTGGTCTTGTGACTATTATTGCCAACAATGTCGTCGTCTCCGTCTTCGTCCCTGTCCGTTATCCTGCCTATTAGCACGCGCACCAGCTCGGCAGCCCTGCTGCACAGCCCATCCAAGCCCTTGAACCGCTGCACGATGTACCGAATGTTGGCTCGGTTTGTTGACTCTCGCACCATGCGTGGCTGCACCAGACGGTTCTGCTGTATGAAGACGCTCTCCAAGCTCGGCGGAAGCGTTGCTGTCATCCAGACCGTCTGCGTTGCGATTTGTCGCACATACGACCCAAGCTTCTTCATGCTCTTTCGGTATGCTGCGGTGATGGTGAGATGGCACTCGTCGATGATGACCCGGTCCAGCCGCTGCCTCGACTGGAGGCGTTGGGCGTAGTCAAGAAAGGTTATTGTGCACGCTGCCTCGGCCGATACTATCACAAGAGGTGCCGACTTCAGCTGGCCCGGCTCCCACACGATAGTCTTAATACCAACCTTCCCGAGCCGGTCAAGCATGTTTTCTCTGAGCGCCACCGCGGGCAGTACCACAATCGTCGTGCCAGCGCCGTCCAGCGCCGCGCCGACCATCGCAATCAGCGTCTTGCCGGAACCCGTGGCTAGCACGACTACGACCTGTTCCGCTGCGTGACGACCCATCGTCGCCAACATGGCATTGCGCTGTCCTGGTCGCCGAAAGCGCAGACTGGGGTTGTTGTAGAGCGCGCGTGCTACCGCTTCTAGGTCACTCACCTTCCCAAGGGGCCTTGTGCGCAGCTTTGTCCTCTTGCACATTTGCACCATGTCCATGTCCGTACCCGAGCGCAGGCGTTTGCCGCCATCACCGGCGGCCTCCTCCCGTGACAAGTGCTCGTCGATCCGGAAAAGCTCCCGCCAGCTCCGCGAGGCTCGGTGCGCGCGGTGCAGTGGCGTGTTCATAACAAGCGTGGACGAGCCTGCATACATTTGGTTAAAGGTCTTGAACGCATGGTTGCTCGCCACGGCCAGGTCCACCAAGAGCTCCTCCTCATCGATTACCTCCGATGCCGTGACATCCTCCATGTTAAAGTTGGCCTGCTCCTTGGGTGTGAATTTCTCCTTTGTAATGGACGCAGCTGCCTGTCGCCACCAGGCCACCTTAAACTCGGGCACCTCGGCGCGCAGACATGCCTGGCTGAGATACTTCGAAACAAGGTCATCCCGCCAAACGTCGCCGTCCAATGTCGACCATAGATAGGTCGACAGAAGGGCTCGAGGGCGGGCCTGGCGAAGAAATGTCTGCCGCAGCGGCTGCACGATCGCCAGGAACGTGACCAGCAGGTCCGCGATCCGTGACGGCACGAACCGGATATTGTCTCTTTCCTCTTCTGTCTGTTCCTGGCTTTTGTGATATCGCACGTACATGAAGAGCATCTTCTCCCAGATGAGCATGCTGCGGCGCCGTCCGCCGCCGTTGGCATACGTCGTGGTCAGCAGCTCCGGCGCCCGCAACGGAGGTGCTGGCGGAACATGCAACAGCGTGATCATTGATTTGAGAAACTCTTGTGCCTCGCACTCATAAACAGCCATGGCCTGGCTGCATAGTGTTTTCCCTCCAGTCCTGCCTTGGTCATCGCGCACAAATGCTTGTCGCAAGTCTGCTCGTTGCTCGACCTGCCGGAGCAGGGCGTCCTGTGTTCCTCGGAGGTACTCTGCATTTCTCTCGTCCGTCAACCATGACCCTCCGCGGTCCTCCGCATCCAGGTCGTCATGTAACATCCATGCCTCGATCGATGGGACGTCCTTCGCCCCGAACATAAGCTTATCGTACAGAAGGCTACGGGCCCTCCTGTACTCTGATACGACGAGCTGCGGTACATGCTCCATACGAAGCTTAATGCCCCGAAAGTCAATCTCCTGGCCATCTAGTGACCACCGCGCCTGGTCACTGGTGATGGCCGCTTGTGCCACCGTTCTGAGGTACAGCCGCCACTGCAAGATATAGCCGAACGCCGTTTCCCTCTTCTGGTGCATGAAGTCCCTGCATATCTTTTCCAGAGTCGCCGGAATGTCTTCCTCTTGATGTCTCTTGTAGAAGCATGCAGTTTCGAAAATCAGGAGTTGCGCCACCCACACCAGTTTTGATAAGTTACTGGTGTAGTTTCCCGGCTTGGCCCAGACGCCAAACTGCTCCTGCCCAGGTGGTGGTTTGGCCTCACCATCTGACTTGCCGTTCTTAACGCTGCGCCTGCTCTTGGTCTCCCTCTTTCTCCTCCTCTCCCTCTCGTAATAGCTCTTGTCCTTGTGTGTCACCCGGCTTAGCATGGCGCAAAAACTAATCACTGGCGACCGGAAAGGCACGCTCCCGACCTCGTGACAAATTAGCCCGATATAAAACCGGCGGATTGCGCAGGCCAATCTCGAGTCATGGTGATCATAATAATGATTCTTGCCGTCGTTACTATTGCCGTCTTTCCTTCGCCTCTCCTCCCCTAACCCTCCTCTTGTTCCTTGGTGGTCTTCTTCCCGCAGCGCTCTAAACATCTCCGTCATGGCCTCCTGCTGCTCACCTGTCGGCTCGATAACGTCTTGTGGAAATATCACCGCCTCAGTTGCATGCGCATGCCCATCTTCATCAGCCTCCTCGTCATCATTATCATCCTCCTCTCGGCCCACCTCTTGGGGCCGGCTAAAATGCCCGTCCTCGCAGTATACCACCCTATAGTAGTATACTAGCAGCTGCTTCATTGTCCTGAAATATTCTGCAAGCGATGATGGGTTCTTGAAGCGACGGAAGGCCGTATCCTTGCCCTTCTTGCCAGCACCCCACGCGAAGTCGCTCAAGATTTGGGCGCGTTGTTGCGTCATCTTCCGATTCGGTGACCGGTCTGATACCAACGTGTACGCGCTCTCAAATAGGGCATCCGCTGCAGTTAGGATGCGCCTCAGATCTTCTTCCTCTCCCTCGTCCTCACCGTCGTCGCCCGCAACATCGATCCCGTGGTCGTCAGTCTTTTCTTCAACCTTCGTCCGTCCGCTTTGGAATAACATGTTTTTCTTTTTAGGCAGCTTAAAGGAGGACCAGATCTCCGTGTTTAAGAGGCCCCGAAGGTGGGTCGGAAACCCCGTGTGGACCAGCCACGGCTGCCGATCTGCTCGATCGCGCCCGGCATCCTCAACGACTGCCGCTTTATCTTCCAGATCGCGCGCTGCTTCCCGTAGGTCACCCCTTAAACCGTCAAAGAGTGTCTCTTCCGCAGCTGACGGTGGCGGTCCCGTGTACAGGAGTGGTTGCGCTATACCCCTTCCTAATGGCGGAGTGTTGTCGTTATTACTGTCTCGTCCGCTGTCTGATGAGCCTTTAACGGTGAAGTAGTCGATCCGACCCTTCGCAGTGAGATACGTCTGCAGGCGGCACGCCTCCCACAAGGGGCTGCCTTCCCTGTTCTGTGATGCTGTTCTCCCGTGCCTGGGCATATGATCGTGCATCAATTCTAGCCGTGTCGTTACAAAGTCGCACCTCTCGACGTCGCACATGCAGATGAAGCCACCGTACTCCGTCAACCCGTCGATTATTTCGCATGGCCTTCTTCTATGAGGTCGCTGCTGGCGCAATTCCTCCGCTCCCCGCAGGTCGTACGTCGACAGCAACTCAATCGTTCCGCGCAGCTGCTCGCCCATCATGTAATGCGGTTTCTTGCGCAGGTGAGATTCCCAGTTTTTCCGTCCGCCGGGCGCGAGGCATGTTCCGCACTCCTGACACACCACAACGCGATGCTCTGCATTGTACACGAAATCGTTGCCACCCATTTGAGTACGTTGCGTGGTTGTTACTTTTTCCTGTCTTCTTGGACTAGCAGAATCTTGGGTGCTAATCTTTTCTTTCCTAGAGAGGAGGAGGAGCGGGAGGAGAGGAGGGGGAGAGTAATATAATAGGGTCTTATGCATTTTTTGCTTCCTCCCTTTTCTTTCTTTTTTTTTTTTTTTTTTTTTTTTTTCCCTTTCAGCCTTCTGCATATGTTGGAATTATCATCACATCCCCCCATGCTCCCGTGAAACACTTCGCTACTCAGCTGGCCGTGCTGTTGTCCCCCTCCCGCCCCCCATTTTCCTATTCGGGAGATGCCACCTCTTTCCCTGGCCAATTACCATCGACTTTTTCATGCGAATCCTTTTTCATCACACCATACAAATCACCTTTCCCCCTGGTTTTTTGTCACACCGCCACCAAATTGCGCCGGCCAGGGTACCTCAGCTTGTCGCCATACTGCCATCCTTTTTCACTCAAAAAGCCCGCTCCAAATCATTGCTAGNCTTCGCGCCGCTCTGGGGGGGAACACTGCTGCGGGTTGTACGGGGCTGCGTCGGCGCTTGTCTCTTCTCGTGTTAACGTGGGTTTGCGACGCCAACTCTGGCCTGGTTGTCATCTTCTGTATAACCCTAACCCTGAAATATACCGATGTCTTGCTCCCTCTACATCGGCCGTAAATACGTTAACCCTAACCCTGGAACGCTCCTTCTTGTTCTTTCTTCCTGACTCCTTTGCTGCTCTACTGGTTGCTCACCACTTTCTCTGCGCATTTGTGCCTCGCGTGCCGCCCTACTGCTCCCTGACCCCTTTCACCGCTTCATCATTTCCCTTTTTTTTTTTT